GAAATCGAAACAACGGTCTAAAGGAAGCCAACAAACACGACAGAGCTTCTCAATTTTTACAACAATCATCCGGCGGCTCACAAAAGAAGCTGCGTAAAAACACTCTTCAAAAGAATCCAGACTCATTGCAATAACCCGGAAGAAAAAGCACATGAGGCCCGATATCTCCGCGACCAATTTATGTGGAATGGCTATCCGAAGGCCTTTATAAGCCGATGCCTACGTGCTCGCCCTCAGAGGACCCAATCAGGACCAACCCGTACGATATGGCATGCGCTGCCGTACATCAAGGATGTATCGGAAGCGACCGAACGCATTGCTGTGGGATTAGGCGTGGGAATTGCACACCGTCCCAGGGCTACCATGCGCAGCCGGATAATGCGAATCAAGGACTGTTTAAGTCCCAGTGAGCTGTCGGGCGTCGTGTATCGCATACCATGTCTAAATTGTCCCCGAAGCTATACAGGAGAGACAGGGCGTATGCTCGGTTCGCGCATATACGAACATAAGCCGGCGGTACGACGGGGTGACGCATTATCTCAAGTGGTCACCCATACCTACGAGACCTGTAACGAGTTTAATTTCGCAGCTGCGAGGGTTATCGCGCACGCCGGCAACAAAACAGTCCGTGAATTGATTGAAGCCTGGGCCTCGAATGAGTTCTCAGTCAATCGATTTATCGATCTGGCGCCGGCATACATCGCGCTGCGCAAGCATCTCCGGACTGATGGCGCTGGTGTTTGACTGTTTCCCCCTTCTCCCCATTCTCCCTCCCCTCCATAACGGTTAATTGGCCCCTGCTTCCTCTAACTGTTTCTTGTCTTTCGTTTATGCCTTTTATCTCTGATGATGGACTCCAGAAAGTGCCCCAAAGCTCAGACAAGTAAAAGTTTGATTCCGGTGATCGCAACGCCTTCTACTTTTCTATGTAAACACACATACCTGGGACGCGAACATTTGCCTCAATTCGAGCGAATTAACTGCCATTTGTGGACGATGGAGACTGCTGGGTGTCTCTCTCCCTTGGGAATCATTCTCGAGCCCCGCCAGCAGCCGCAGAGCGGCTAGTTTATATAAATTATATGAATATGTAGAGGTCTAAGCCGTGGGTGCACTCAGAAAAATACAATTATCACGTCCAGTCCCGTATAGGAAGAGAAAGGGTAAGACAAGTGGGAGCTTTTTGTTGTAGACAGAAACTCAGTGGTGGTTTGAAGCCCCGACGCGCGGCAGGCCCAGCCCTGCGTGCGCGTTTGTTTGCTAGCGTGCTATGGACGTGAATACCTAAACATCACGCGAGACTGAGTGATTGGCCGCTTGGTCAACTGCTCGGCCAATAGCAGTCGATGGCATCTGTGATTGGCTGTCCCAGAGACAGATATGGGAGTGCAATCACGTAACGGTTAGCTTACTTAGCACCGGCGCTACAACTGACCGTAGCTGACAGAGATAAGGGAGACTAGAATGGTCATTAGCCGCCATACCCAAGTCTAGGCAGTACATCACCCGAGGCCCGAACCCGAGACGGAACTCCCTCTGCCTTGGGAATCATTCTCGAGCCC